CAAATCAGCAAGGATAGAGTTATTCCATCATGTTACATGTTTCCTTTAATGACAGTTAGTTTCCTACAAACATGGGGAAGCCCCCAGATCAAAGTGTCTTGCCTAACTGAAGAAAATCCTTTTGTTCCATGGCTTTAATGTCTCAAGAGACCTTATCATATGACAGCAAACCTTCCACAGCAACCTAGGTATTGTAATTGCAGTAGACCATACCAGTTACTTTTGTCTAAGTTTTGAGTCTGTTTTAAAACCCCTGAAGGAAAAGCATTACCTATTCTGTTATAAACACATACTTGCGGTGATTTGGTGTGAGAAAGCTCTGCATATTGAAGCGACCCCTGCACTCTAGGTGTGGATATCAAATGTAAACGGACTAAGGGGAGCACAGCTTGGAGAACCATAAAGGTGAACCGGCTCTGTTGCTGAAATTTTGGTTACCAGCCAGGCTAAAGAATTTTCTGGTGGGATAAGTTTAATCCCCTCACTGGGAGTGGCACTCTACCATGGAAGATTTCCCTCACCTGCAACTTCAGGAGCTCATGTATTCGTTTCAGCTTGAAAAGTCTTGCCCTGTGCAGCAAGCTGAAGCATTGACAGGGCTGGCAGGAGAAGTTTGAGACCTTGTGAGAGCCTGCAGCATCAGCTGCTGAAGGCTTGGGCAGGGCAAAAAGAATAGGAGAGGACCCAAGGATGCCAAAGAGAAAAGCTCACTACTGGAACAACAGAAGCCAAAGGTTAAGCTGGTGCTTTGATCTTAATTCATTGAAAGAGTACAGTATTTTCTGTAAGTATAGGGGATAAAGATGTGTGGGCAACTCCATAAAAATAACGTTCTTCAGAAGTCCACCATGGCGTTACCTACTTCAAGTGAAAAACTCATCTCAGTCCTCTAAAAGAACTTCAGAAGCCTACCAAAAAAAGGGGGGGGGGGAGGAAATAGTATTTACGGTTTAAGAAAAATGCACACCAAAGAGGGGCCAAATTCTAGCCGCAGGTTGTATACAGTGTCTTACTCTTGGCCGTATAGAGATACATAGAAATTGAATCTGGGGGGAGAATTATTGTGACATAATGAAGTTTTATATTAACATTACAGCTGTATTTGTGAATTCATATGTTTAAAGCATGCTAGTAGTAAATGGGTATACTTTAAAAATGCTGTTAAAGCTCTTCTTTTTTTCTTTAAGGAGTTTGGTTTCAAATATTCCTTTATCAAAATTAAGAATAGTGCAGAAATTGAAACTGTTAACTGAAATGAAGCTAACTGATATGTTTCAGTCCTCTTTGGTAAATGAGATTTGCAAAGTAAACAAGAAAATAATTTAATCATTTTAATTATTTGAGGAGCTCTTTGTAATTAAAGTGAGTAAACTTTGGCTTGCCACAATCTTTATTACAAAAAGCTTTTGTTAATTTGAAAACAAACAGCAATATGTTGCAAGTTATTGATTTCACTTCAACTTTTAATATTTATAAAATGCTAGTTGTTAGACGTAAATGTTTTAGAAATGTGTAATGCATCTTTTTAACTGTTTAATAAAAAATTATAATATTGCTATCAATTGATTAACTATCATCCTTCATCTGCATATAAAATACCTTTTTTAATTATCAATCAATGTTACCTACCGTGTGTATGCAGAAAAGAGGGTTGTGTTACATTTTGGTACTGCTAATTTACCCTGCTGCTCTGTGGAGAGTTTCAAAACGTAGAGACAAAGCTTTACTGGCCGATGCTGTCAGTACACAGACTATTATTTTCCTCTCCTGACACTTAGCATTCTCCAGGAGTGCAACCAGCTGACCTTGAAGAAGTTGTCAAGAAGGGTGTTAAAACTGTGGTGATTGGTCGTGGCATGAGCGAGGCTTTGCAGGTAGGTTTTTGTTCCGTGAGAAACAGAAACTGGAACGGTTTGTTTTCCCTCACCCTCTGATTAGGGCGGAAAAACCCCCCAAAATCTATAATGCTTTACTAAGAGGGGAAAAAATTGAGGATGCCAAATTAGTATAACTGAGCTCCTGCCAGGAGTACCTCTCTTCCTGAAAGAAACATTGTTTGAGCTCCTCTGTATTAGCATCAATGTCAAGCAGTAAACAGGTTTACATTCTGCTACAGGAGCAATTTAAACAAGGAGAATTTTTTACAATGTCATTAGGCCCCCTCTCTTAGAATAGGTTATGAACCAGCTCTCTAGCCTGCTGTAAACACTTTGATAATCAGGCATTTTTGTTCCTAATGTTGGCAGGGTGTCATTTCAGCAGATAAACTAGCTACAGAAAGCTCAGAAGTGCTGAGCTTTACTTCATGAGAAGGAATTCTTTAGCTTTTTGGTGAGGTGAGTAACACCTGATTTAGATTAATTACCTTCAGCTCCAGTTCTATTTATTTTTGTAAAAAAGGGCTGCATTTTGAACTGTGTTAAGGAGAAACGGGAGGTGTGTATATAAAAGTGGCTTTCTTGAAGAGAAAAAAATTTAAATCAATCTCAGAAATATTTGAGCATATTACCCATTTGGCTACTATCAGTTACTTAAGTGCATCTATTAACAAATGGCATCAGTACCTGTTTTTCTTCAAGCCTTACAGTGTGAAGGGAGAAAAGAATCTAACAGTTGCTCTTCCCATTTCCTTTTCTTTTCTGAGGTTCCACCATCTACTGTGGACTACCTGAAGAAAAACGGGATTGACGTGTTGGTCTTGCAAACGGAGAAGGCTGTGGCAGAGTACAATGCCCTGGCTGCTCAGGGTGTCAAAGTGGGGGGAGTCTTCCATTCAACCTGCTGAAGCGTTACAGCTCATTCCGCCTTCCTTGATCGCAGCCGAATCACGGACACACCTCGCCGCTGAATCAAATTACAGTTAACAGAGTGTGGACTTGCGTGCCAAGGCATTTGTGCGCTGACAATCTAAAATGCAAGGACAGTTTATTAGTTCAGGTTTTAAGCAAATTGAGTGCTCACAAAAGGGGGCTGTTAATGAAATTATTTAATTACAGAACCATTTCCATACGTTTCTGAGATTGACCTAATCTTCCTCTGAACACTGTCCATATTCTGGTTACTTAACTTTTCACCTGTTGGCTAAATTAAGATACTGGGTTTTGAATACTTTTATTAGGAAATGGCCTGAAATTAAGTTATTGGCTATTGGAATGCAGCCATAAGATAACTGATGAGTACGATCAAGTGGTAGATATGAAGCGGTGGTAAAGAAGCACTTTACCACCACTGTATAAGTTAAAGTAAATTAAAAAGTGAACCCAGAACGTACAACTTTGCCTCCTGCTGGTGACTTCAGTCAGGATATTGGCTAATTCAAGAACATCACATAATTTAGCACTTTTAAATTTTACACTGAATCTGGAAAAAGGAGGGGAAAAAAAAAAGCTACAGGGAGAATAAACATAAAATCTGGGCCTTAAACAATTTTCCTATTAATTGTGAATAGTGAGAATTGAGTTGTGCAATATGTATCGATTCAAAGGTCCCTATGTGCTTGAAATCATCAGGAAGATTTGTCCAAAACTAGAGTTTGCAACATAGAATATTGATCTTTAGGAAATCGGTCTAAATTGCTGCTAGCAAGCTGAGGATGGATGTGAGAATTCTTACTGGTCATCATTATCTGATGACTTAAATATTGTGCCAACAAGCGTATCATTACACTGAAAATCTTAAAAGTTGTTGTTCTTGGTAGGCTTCTATTAATATTCCCAGTTACCTACTGTACATATTTTTTTTCCCCACCAGGCTCACTAATTCTTGATCTGTGCATAGTAAGTCTGTGTGTATTAATGAAAGTACACTATAAAAGCCCTGAGGCACTCGGCGCTATCCAAGTAGTAGCAGAGAGGCTTAGATTGCTATGAGAACGCAACAACTTTCCCAAGACCCAAGAATAACCCTTCACAAAATACTATGTTCTTTTTCTGTTTATTTGCTCTAGTAATCATTTAAAACCTTTTATCTGATAAAATACAATGTGGTGTAAAAGCAAAGGGAAAGTCAGTACTTGAAAGTTTTATCTTGCAATCTGCTAATTACAGCAATATTTTCTATTAGCGTAGCTGTATTGGAGGGAACATCTTGGCTAAACCAGCAAGAACTGCCTTTCCAGCTGCAGCTGTGTTCTCTGACAGACCAGCTCGTATAACGCTTGTCGTAACTGCTGTGACATTTTTCTGAATAACTTGCATGGTGTGAAGTAGAAGGCGAACCACTGACCCAGAAGATCGTAGTCATCCCAAGGGAATGCCAGGGGAACCAGATCCTACCAATCCACAGAGTGTGAAGACTTTTTTGCATTAAATGTTGTTATTCTATAGCAGAGCTGGTTTGACTCTCTTGATCGCGGTCATGTATTTACATTATTTCATGAGCTTTTTGGGCCTTAAAGCAGCCGTAAATAGGAGGGGACTTTGTAAAGCTTTTACAGAGAGGACAATTCCAGTTTTTTAAGTACAGCAGTCTGTGCATTACAGTGGTGGGAGCAGTTGAGCCAACACCTGATCTTTCACCTCCAGTTTTTTTTTTTCCTTTTTTATATTTTCACATTAATGACGAAGTCACATTCAACAAAACTGCTCAGCCCAGGTCCTGCATTTGAGAAAAACACTGTGGGTTCCTCACACATTGGTGCTAGGTGTTCTGTCCTCCCAAAAGGCACAGGAGGAGCACAGGTGACTTTTAGAGGTGCGCCCTACCCAGCTTTGTGCTGCAGCCTCTTAATTGTTCATTTGGCAACTGGTAGGAAACAGAAGATTCCACTTCTAAAAACGGGGAGCTGCAGCGTGCAAAGAAAGGGATTTCTTTTTTTAAAGGTCAACTGCGAAGTTTTGCTACCATCAGTACAAAATTTTGGTGTCGACAAGGAGAGTATCCACCGCAAGGCTTTTTCCCTCCGTATCATCTATTGCTGCTGTCGTCACAGCTTCCTGAGTCAGCTTTGTCAGTTCCCACAAACGCGGCTGCTCCACTTGGGCTGCTCCACTCACCGAAAGCCCAATTTCCTTCTTGGTGCCTGAAATTGCTTTGCTCCATGGTGCAAACAGCTGGGACTGATTCATCAAAAAATTCAACCAGAGCTCAAAATGGTATCTTTATTAAATCACTGCTTTCAGCTAGAGCCGTAAATAATGTTAAAATTTCGGGCTCATCACCCGAATCATGGGAATGCATTTTTATAGGGCAGGATTTCTCACATACAGACGCCGCTTCTCTGCCCCACACCAGGAAAACGATCTCCCAGTAGGCAGCAAAAATCCCACCCTGACGCTCTCGTTGAAGCGGAGCTGCGGCTGGGCTGGCTGCCAGGAAGATTCCACCCCAGCTGCTCCACCGCCGAGCCCTTATCTTGGTGAAGCAGCATGCACCCGAGCTGGCAGCCAGGAGAAACAGGCTGTAAAAACGCTCACAGACACACTGAATGCAACACAACCAGCATTTTTAAGGGACATCAGGCAGCATTTGTGCAAAGTCAGCATTTATGAGCCTTCAGACTTCATGGTGAAGTCCCACTAATGCTGCATTAGTGAACTGTAAAGTAAAAAGACAGCCTGCTCCCGCGTTCCTAGTGCCTGCTGTTGAGAATAAACTGGAAGACGCGAGTGAAATAAGATGAAACTAGTGATTGTATCTCTGACTTGGTCAGAGTTGAGAACTCAAGGCAAGCAAGAGAGGAGTCCAGAGGAAAGCCATCTCCGTGAGCTGGAACCCAAGATGATGTCATATGGTCCCAATTTAAATGCATGCCCTCTTCTCTGATCTTCCCAAGAACTCGCTTTGTACTTTTTGCAGTGAGCATACCCACCCACTTTGTTTTACCCATACTTTTTAAAACAAGATCTGTGAAAGCCACACCAGGTTTGAGTTAATATCTCATAAGCTTCAACTTTGTTCCAAATACATTTACGCATTGTTTTGAGAGTTCTTGACTTGATAATCGCATTATTTATTTGCAAAGTTTTAAGAATTCGCCTAATGAATTTCAATGGACTTAGCAATCTGATGATGAATTTCCCATTAAAGCATTCAGAGCTAAGGCTTCCCCCTCCCGCCCCCGATGCCATGTGTAATTAAACCTGTAACTAGGACAACACGTTTTCAAACCACTAAGCCACCCCCCTTTCACCTGAGTTCAGCCTTTTCCTTTCTCTACCAGATTCTTGACCCTCTTCCCTTATGCCTAACGAGGAGGTAAAATGCAGAGGGGAGGGGTGTTTGTTTTTAACAAATTGTTTGCCCTTGCCTCTAGATTTCTCCAGCTCCCCGTGGCTGCAGCTCTGTACCGGCACTTGCAAACATCTGAGAGAAGAGAATCTCCCCGTACTTGGGTGATTGAAGTCCTCCGTTTCCTCTTCAACAGAGATGAAAGATGCAAATGAATTTGTGCATGAGTACAGCCCTTTGCTTTTCTTTTCATTCTGAGATCAATCACCTTTCAGGCTATTGCAGTGCAGAAGTCCAACAGTTACCCAAAATTAAAGGACAGCCGGTGAAGGGGTAGAGATGCTTCTGAGATGACACAAAGTCCTGGAGCTCCACAGAGAGCGTGCACTCTGGTATTTCTGAGGGCAGAAAAGCCTAAATGTCTCAAACCTGGGGGTGGGGGGAAAAAGTCAACATCTAGATTCAAACAACTACCAAAAAAAAAATAATCTCAGAATACTTACCTCTTATACAAATTTCCTTTCGGATTTCCTGTACGTTGGAACATGGTGTGAAAATGCATTTTAAAGAGAAAGTAAGCTAAAATAAATTGGAGATCAAGGTAGGCTGTTTAAAAAAAAAACCACAACCAAAAAAAAAAAAAAAACCACCACCAAAACAAAAACAAACACATATTCAGTAAGAAGGGAAAGGACAGAGAATAAGAAGGAAAGGATAGAGAAAGGGAAGAGGGTGGTAGTGTGCTGTACAGAGACCTGCTACAACAGAACGTATTTATAGGGGATGTTTTACAAGGGCGTGTAGTGATAGGACAAAGGGCAATGGCTTTAAACTGGAAGAGGGAAGGTTTAGATGAGATATAGGGAAGAAATTCTTCCCGGTGAGGGTGGTGAGGCAGTGGCAGAGGTTGCCCAGAGAAGCTGTGGCTGCCCCATCCCTGGAAGTGTTCAAGGTCAGGCTGGATAGGGCTTTGAGCAACCTGGTCTGGTGGAAGATCTGCTTGAATAGATGAAACCTAGGAAGAAAAGGAGAACTTGTGGTTTCCTCCATGATTCAAACTAGGAATGAGAGAAAAAAACTACAGGACAATATCAAGAAAAAGCCAACTACGCAATACTCTCATTAGGAGACTGGAAACGTTCGTAGCAGTCTTAGATTTTCAAGTGGCTTTAGGCATCTTGAAATTACAGATGAAGAACTTTTCTATAGCCCTTCGGTATTTGATCCTCAGTTGGTAATGCAGAAGGTAAATGATCTTTGCCTAGTATGTTATATGAAAGGAGCTCAGGCACAAAATAGTAGAAGGTTGTTCCAGTGGTCAGAAAAAGATTTTGATAGTGAAAATGAAAAAAAAAAAAAAATTACATCCCGAATGGAGTAGCTGTTTGGTCATCTGTGGCCTGGGAACAAACGCTAAATCGTAACTCAAATACCGATAACCAGAGAGCAGCCAAACTACCTTGAGGAAAGGCAGAGTTGATGCCAGACAGGTGATTAATGCCGGATCCTGGAGGGTTTATCTGCAGGCCTGGAGGGAGCACCAAAGCTTCACTGTGCTGCCCATTGATATTGCTCTGCGCTGACGGAGAAGGGTGGCATCCAGGACGGAAGAGGCGT